TTTTGAGAGTTCATATCTTGAAGGGGTTTTTCTTAATTTTCTGAAAGTTCTCTGATAAATCGTTCAACATGAGTCATTATGGAATAAAGCTACGATAACCGGGATTGTTTCATTCGAAAAAGTATGGTTTGAAGATTATTTTAAAATCTGTCAACTAAAGGTCTTTTAGGTTAAAGGACTTTTGAGAGGTTTTTCATATTTTGAAGGGGTTCTTAATTTTCTGGAAGTTTTCTTAATTCCTGTTAACTCTGTGGCTTTTAAAATAGTAGATGCTATGCTACGCTTTGGCTCATACTTTGGGCCAACATCTTTTATATGTAAAGTATAGCTAAGAAATTTAGATATCGTACCATATAGCATTCGAAAACCGCCTGCTAAGAGTTTGTACTTTACTGTCTCAATCGCAAGTGAGATGCTTATAGAGTTAATTACTTCTGTTCGGCCACTTTTGTTCAGCATTTTCCTAGCGCAAGTCCATTTTAGCAACAACCCGCTGGTTGAAAAAGTATTATATGTTACATAGCTTTGTTTAAACTGTTTGATAGCCATTGATGATTTTCCCATTTCAGTTTTCATGAAATGAACAACCTAAAGCAACAAATGGTCAGAGCGACGCAACTACTTTATATTATCGCAGCCTAAGTTACCCGCCGACTTCTAAGATGGTGCGGTTTCGGTCTTTGGTTCAGAAGCTACATACCACTACCCATGACTTTGATTTATACATGTGCTAGTGCTTAATTCTTCTTGGGAAGGGCTCGTACGGCTATTTAAAATTTACTAAATAAGAATTTCTTCGCGCTGTATTATTTCATTTAAAAGTAGAAAATAAAGTTCAGCAAATCCCACTTTGCGAAGCCGCTATTTTGTACCACCTCACTATGCTTCTCAATCGCTGATTTTTAGATGAAGTCGCAGAGATAAGTGATTTACAACTTCCTGCCTCATATAAAAATAGCGAATTTTGTGAGAGACGGTGAATACACCACAATTTTTACGCATAAAGACAAATTACTATAAGTTATGGTAGAGATGGCCTGAGCTCCCTCTTTGTGTCATCAAAAAAAAAACTTTCAAAAAACCTAAGACAAACCAACACACCATTGTAATTTGGTTGTGCTCTCTGCTCAAATTATTATTTACATCTGCTGAAGGGGAAAAGTGTTGGACGTTTTAGAGTGCAAAACTGCGTGCTTCAGGTAAGCTGCTTAGTGCATTATTCCTTCTGCAGAAAATCATTTCTCATGCCCCTACCATGACAACGAGTTCAACAACTTCTCTGCCGTGTTGAATCTCATACAATGATAAGTTCCTTGATTTCACTCAATTATTCACGCAATTTTGTGCGACGATACGCCAAAAAACAAAGAGTGGGCGGTAAAGAAATTGATTTGAACGAAATTCTATCAAATTCGCACTTTCTTTTTCAGCATAATCAAAGTGCTTGTGTGCCAAGCTGTCCGTCTTTAATTATTGCAAAATTTCAAAATTATTACGTTTATAGGCAGTAAATGTTCGTTTCTGTCTCTGTCCTTTGGCTGAGTCTTAGAATATGCTGTCTTCCACACTTCTGGGAAGAGTTTTTGGATTTCTTTACAAGACATAGGAATTTTGATCATCTTCTTCCAATGTGAAGTCGAGTATACATCAACAAAGGATATTTTCCACGGCAACTAATCGCTTATCTTTGATCTTGTACTCATAGTAGTCATTCCTTCAACCACTTCCCTTCCATCGCACACGACATGTTTCAGCCCTTTCAAAGCTCTCATTTAGCTAATTCCTTGTATATCAACAATAGCTATTTAGCCAATACTTATTTTGCTAAATGCAGCTAATCCACACAATTCCTTAAAGCTCCAAAATCTTTATTGAGTTAACTTCTTGGAAAACGAAAGCAGCACTCATTTCCTTGGTTTTAATCTTGTTTTGAAGTGTAACCTGGAAAAGATAGCGAAAGTAGTGGATCATAAATTTCAAGCAGTTTGTGCTTGGTTAAAATTATGTTAACTTCCACAGACTGAGTTGGCGATTCTAAGATAGAATTTTATATACAGAATTGCTTCGAAACAACAGTTTTTGCTGTTACAAGTTTATTGTGTTTTTAAAATAAATTACACACCAAGAAAAAGATAAGATACATCTTTTCTCTTCAGGCCTTGTTTAAATGTTCCATGTACTTTCTGCAAAAACATTCTTTTTATATTGTTATCTTTCGTCTTCGTTTTTCGCTGCTATGACGCATATCAGTGGATTCTTTTGTTTAAAAAGTTTCTTCTTTCAGCGAACAATGAACGATATCAATAAATGGCGGGAGGAAGAATCCTTGAACCTTACAAGTGATATCAGTTCAGATGGTTCTGATAGAAGTGAGGAGAATGTCGACACTTCAACGAATACGCTGATGCCTCAGAACTCGTAAGTTTTGCTTTTATCCTTCTTTCATAAGCAACATAAATTTGAGTCATATTCACGCGGAAACATTCAACTTTTACTCTACAACTGCTTTCATTTATACATAGGATTAGATCATCTTGCTAATCTACTACTCATCTCTTCAGCCTTTAATCCTATTCGACAATACCTTACTTATCCTCTCATTCTGGCTTTCTTTCCAATAAATGGATCTATGAATACTGGCTATGGCGTTTACAAAGTTGACATCATCTTTTTGTGCTTGAAATCATCTTGATCGCCCCACTTTGAGTCTATTTCTATTGCCGAAGATGTATGTATAGTTAAACGGTGCTGGTTTCAATGTTCCTTGATTGCCAAAAACAGCCGAAATTGCCGTTATGTCGATTGTCTCATCAAAGTACGCTTTTTGTCTCATCTTTTTTGGAGCTTGCAGACTTAATTAAGTTTTTCTTTCATAAATCACGCTTATAGAAGTACGTGCAGCTCTCTTGCAAGGCTTACTGCAGGGTCCAGTCTTCTTTCTTACAAATTGCTGATGATAAGCTTTTAGAAAAAATGCTTATATTTTGCAAATTATTTCGAGCTTATGCCATTTCCTTTAGAACTGCTGACACTTCAGCGATTCTCATTTCTCAAACACCTGTTGCTGCTCACAACACATCCGGCGCTTCTGCCACACCCGGTCGTCTATCGCTTTCTCAGCCAATTCTCTCAAATCCAGTAGACTCACCAGCATCGAATCGACTGAGTGAGCTTTTTCTTTCATTGTTTTTATTTAATATATTGAAACGGAAGTTGCAGATATGTCTGCTGGCAACATCGCTCGTCCTCCTCGTCCACAGCGAGTACCACTGGTGAAGACTCAAGAAGAGAACGAGCAGCTGAGACATCAACTTGTGGAGCTGAATGTTAGCTTTAACTATTGATTACCCTTATCATCTCTATAATGAATTTTCCGATTTATCTTCTTGTCTACTCTAATTTTTGAGGCAAAGCTTCGTGTGGCGGACTACAAAGTTATGGAGCTTGAAAGAATGTTACCTCGTGAGGTGAAAGACATCTTGGAAGAGGTATGTTTATTTTTTGCATGGTCCAGCCTATACGCCCATAACTCACTATCAGTTTCAGTATTATTCCTTGCAAAACTCGAGGCTTGATTTGATCACAGAACGAGAAGAGCTTGCAGCTGCACGACGTCAGCTTCAAGTTGAAGCCGGTCAAATGGATCTGGAAGCGCAAAGAAAACTAGACAAACTGAGTGTGAAACTCAGCACTTCTGAGAAGGAAAGAAATACGTTGAAGAAAGAGAATGAGGAGGTAGACTATAATCTGTTTTACTCATTTGTATAAATCCGATCCTTGTTTAGCTGAGAAAACGTATTGAAGAGCTAGAGAAGGATTTAGCTGCAATAGAAGAGATTCCAACAAGTCTTGATGCTTTGAAAGGTGAGGACAGCGATTGGACAATCAGATCAGAATATGATGTGTGAGTGATGCATATGCTAATTCGACAAATTTGGAAAAATCAACTCATGCATTATTCAGTGATGTGGGTGACCTACGTGAACAATTGTACATCGCCAACAAGGAGAACAAAGTGCTTCGCCAGAAGATTGAGGGCCTCCAAAAAGAAATAGAAGATAAGTCTGCTGCTTCTAATGATGTAACATCGCAGGGCAAAGTGAGCTATCGTCGTCGAATGATAGTATCGAAGTAAAATCGTTTGCTACCACAGGATGGACAAACATTTGTAATTGGTGGCGGTCATGATGCAGAGACACTTCTGCAACGCATTGACGGTTTAGAAGCCAGACTGCGTGAAGAACAAGACGAACGGGCAAAGGCTAACACAGCACTTGCTGTTGGTTCTTCACCGATAACATCACACAAAATCCTAATTTATAAAGCGGACCTCTTTCAGGCTTACATGTCTCGTTACCATAAACTAGAGAAGAAATTGCAGGAAGCAAATATGTCAGTTGGGAATACGTCCTTAAAAGTGAATAACAAGGAGGAAGTGAAAGCAGTGGTAAGAAATGTTCTCATCCATATAAATACATGAATTTACAAATGATGAAAGACAAAAGAAAGTTCTAAAATGTGAACTATAGGGCAATTTCAGCTCAGCCGATGTTTGAATGTATCTTTCTTTGTTTATCTTTTTCTGTAGTTCTTAACATAATTCACCTGAAATTGAAAAAACCATGAAATCAAAAAAAATTTTTTGGTGAAAACGGCACTCAATAGTCATTTTGATATGTTATTCATTTTTCCTATCTTACTTTTTTTTACAGTCTGAAAGAATTAACACTTCTTGTAACTGGTCTAAAATTTTTTCAAAGACTACTGCTGTTTTTTTATCCGATTATGTTTCGAGTATGTAATAATGTATCAGAAGACGGTATAATTTCAAAATTAATTAACTATAATTTTTCTACTACAGACGCGAAAGCCATTCAAAGAAAACTTCAGTCAATGCCTTCCAGGCGCAATTTACGAACAGCTAACCTTTACCTTTACGTGTTTGGCATGAATTTTAGGTTGCTCAACTTCGTGATCTTCTTCGCCATCTTGGTTCGGAGAATAAAGAGTTACGCAAAGAATGTGCCAGATTGCTTAAAGAGCATAGTGTTCTCAGTGCCAACTCTACCGACGCATCCGGTAGAAATGGTCTGTTTTCTTGTTATTTGCCTTTGTTTATGCTTAATTCAATTTCACCTCACAGATACAGCAAATGAGGAGATCGCTCATGCCGGGGACAGCGTCAGGGCTGAGACAGACTTCGAGGAGAAGGTGTGTAGTTATTGGATTATCGTATGATCTTGTAATCTTCCCCTATGTGCTCTCTCATCCTGCTTCATCTGAGAGAGAAGATATTAAAACAAGCCCAGTGCATTCCTTGATGTTGACCAAACACCCATCTATTCCCTTCTTTTTTCAATTTGTTCTCAATAAGCAACAATATTTTTTT